ACATAAGTAGAAAATAGTTATCTAGATTTTAGTAATGCATTTGACAAAGTCATGACTATTCTTGTAAACAAGATAGAGAAATGTCAGACAATGATACAGTTAGATTCAAAACTGGTTAAATGTCTGTCTAGTCCCAAATGTGTTCATTGACATTAATAGTTTAATGTCAAACTGGCACAGGGTCTCTTATGAGTGTCCAAGGAATCTGTGCTTGTATTCATGCTTTTTGGTGTTTTTTTTCAGTGATTTGGATAAAGATATAGATGAATTGCATATCAAATTTGCAAAAGATGCAAAGGTAGGAAAGAGAACTAATAATACATTGGATGATGGAACCAAGATCCAAAAAAGACCTCAACAGACCAGAATACCATCTCAACTGAAATAAGATGGAAATTTAATAAGAACAAATGTAAAGTCATAAATTGGGATTAAAAATTTCACATGGATGAGATGTTAGCTACTGGCTAGATAGTAGTTAATCTGAAAACGCACCTAACAGGAGGCTACAGCAGCTCCCCTGCCCAACATCCCCCCCTCAAAAAAAAAAAACCAAGCCTAATGTTATCTGTGGTTGTTTTAAGAGAGGCATAGTGTCCAGCAGTAGGTTAAGTAATTGTCCCATTGTACTCTTCCTTATTCTGACCATATCTAGAATATTGTTTAGATCCAGATACCACATTTTAGGGAGTCATTAATGAGTGAGATGGCCTGTAGAAGAGGATGACCAAGATGGTATTCAAGATCATGTCATATGAGTATCACTTAAAACAATTAATGTTTAACCTTGAGAAGAGCATATTTAGGGAGGACATGCATGAAAACTGTCTCCAAGTATTTGAAGGTCTATTGAATGGACTAGGACATCTGCTTCCCTGGAGAAAGCAAAACTAAGAGTCTTGTGTGGAAGTATCTTAGAGGATGACATGCTTCCTGTAAAGATAAACTTCCTAACAATTAGAGCTGTCTCAAAGCAGAACAGATTTCCTTGAGAGATAGTGGTATTCCGTGCACCAGAAATATTTAAATAAAAGCTGAATGACCACTTGTTGGGGTATGTCACAGAGTGAATTTTTGTTTATGTATATATTAGGCTCTGAAGTTCCATACAGCTCTGAGATTTTGTTTCTATGATGTGACTTGTTGATCACAAACCCAATTTGCAATTTAACACCTTCTAGTCTATATAGCATATTTATTTAGCAGATAGCCATTTGCTTCAGTGTTCAAGGACAAGTCCTTGTATTGGTAAGTAGACCCTAGAGAATCCTAGAAAGGGAAAGGAGTAAACAAGGGGATTAATTAAAGTAATATTGCTTGGAAAGGGTCACCACAACTGGATGTAATTCAAACTAAGAAACTGGATGGAGAGGATGGGATGAGGAAGATTCTGCACGCATATCTGGGCTAGAAAAAAGAAGTATAAAAAAGAAGATAACAATAAAAGTAGATTCAATTCAAAAACTAGATTAAATTTGGGTAGGGGAGGGTGAGAGGGGAAAAAAATTTTTTTTTGATGGACCAGAGTTCCAGAGAATTTGAGAGATCAAGGATGCTAGTAGGTAACTTCAGCAAGGAAGAAAGGGTGGGTGAGTATATTGAAAGACTCATGAGGAGAAGAGGGGAGTTCAATAAGTTCATATTTAATGACTTCAGTTTTCTTAATAAAATAGAAAGCTAGTGTTAGAAACTTAAGAGAAGAAAATAAAATATTTAGAGAAGCTTTTATGGGAAAAGTGATAAGAAATAATGAGAAATTAATGGCAGTTTCAGAGTCCAGATCCTCATGTTTTATTTGTTTTCGTAAAATTGGCACAACAGTACAGATACTTCACAAAAATTTCAGAGTTGGAAGTAACCTTGCAGGCCATTTACTCCAACCCAGCTATAAAATTCCATCTCAGCTTTGTGCCATCTGCAAACTAAAGGAGCATGCCATGTATATACGTTTATCTAAGTCACTGATAAAAATGTTTAAAAGAACAGGACCAAGAACAGATCCCTTGGTCACTGCATAAGACTTTTCAAGTTGACATTGAACAACCAAACCATTCAGAGAGTTCTGGATCAACCTACCTGTGCTGTTTTGTGAAAATGATTAATTTTTTGATCTGCCTAGAGGCATAAGTTTTAAGGTTTATAGTGACCAAGAAAGCCTTATGAAAAGTAATCTATTCAGCAATATAATTGGGAAAAAAACCAATTATATTGAAAAATAATTCTTAACCATTTTCGTAATAGCATTTTGCTTTGTCACAAATTAAAGGACCACATATTTAAAGGAAAGGTTATTCCATATCTTTGTACTTTTGGTTCACTTATTATTCTTAGGTATTTCAGGGTTGATTTTTCAAGCTTTTTTGTTCCTCCTCCTATCCCCTTCATCTTACCTTACACACACACTCTTACTGTTTTTGCTTTCAGAGCAATTACAGAGGATAAACGAGGGAGGAGAATATGGGATCTTTTTGTTGTTATTGTTGTTGTTGTTTTGTCCTGTGCCTCTCAAGGTTTTTTTTTTAATACAAAGTTAATTTCAATGCTTACTTTGTTTATCATTTTGATGAAAATAACCTTCATTAAGTATTAGTTGTTGGCTTTGGTATTTTTTTGTAGTTTTACTTTATTACTATTATTTACTATTATTGTAGTATTACTATTATATATTAAATATGCTATTTACTATTATAATAGTATTATGATACTATGTATTATTTACTGTTATATTTATTATTGCTATTAAATAGTTCTTACTATTTACTATTATTTACTGTACTGAGGTACTCAGAATCACCACCATTTGGTCGAACATGATACAAAAGTTAATTAAAAGAGAAAATTAATTTAAAGATAGTGAACAAGAAGAAAATTTTCAAAAGGTAATAACTGTAGAATGAATCCTATCAAAACAGAAAGTATTTTTTAAAGCCGCAACTGTATACACTTAAGAAGGAGGGAGTATTTCCATACTTATACAAAAATCTACTTATTATAACTAATAATTATGCTTGCTGAAATAATTTTAGCTTGGCATTGATTTGACTTTACTGAGTGCCTAATAGTTGCAAAGATGCATGTGAAAACCATCTTACATCATCTGCCTCTACATCCTGTCATTTTGAACTTTCAAACTTTGAAATAACATCATTGTTTAGCTGAAGTGGGTAAAGTATGTAACTCTGTAATTTTCTACAATTACAGTATCTTCTTGATTATTGTCCTAGGACCCTGAGCCTTGAGTTGTAAGTACAGGTGGCTTAGATGAGTGGCCATTGAATATAAATGCTGGGTTTTATGAAAACATTAAAGACCATCTTGGGACCCACAGGGGAAGAATCCTAATTTGTGATAGTCTGTTGGAGCAGCATTACATGCTACTATTAACAAGTCCCACCAGGAAACAAAACAGAAAGTCACTGGCTTAGTGTCACAAGGCTTAGTCTCATTATTTCAGTTAATTTTCTGCAGTAATCTATCAATGATTAGTGTTGTGTAATAGGAAGTGCACTGGTTTTGAAGCAAAGGATTAGGTTCATGCTGTGGCTCTGCTGTTTACTACCTTAGTGGCCTGAGGGAAATAATTTATCCTCTTTGGCCCTTCATAAAATCAAGGGGTCAGACCAGGGGATCCTCAAGGTCCCTTCCAAGTTGTTGAGTGAATACAATAAGCGTAGCCATGCCACAGTGGCTACTACCAATTCTTAGCCTATTTCTTTGAAGGATCTACATTTCTATACACATAGGGACAAGGTAGCTTTTATTCATTCAACCAGCATTTATTAAGCTCCTGCTGTGTGCTAGGTACTGTGATAGTCCATAAGTAGAGAGAAAAATATAACAGTCCCTCTGCTTAAGGAGCTTACATTCTATTCATGGAAAATAATATTTGCATAGAAAATTAAATGCAAAATACATACAAAATAATTTCAAGGAAAAGAGCACCATGTAGGGGTTCAGAATAGGCTATTGGCATTTAAGTGGAGCTTTGAAGCAACCTCAGCAGTCCATCAGACAGAGATCAGGACAGGGCAAGAATATCTTCCAGGCATCAGGGAATGCCTATGCAAAGGCATGGAGGTGGGAGACAAACGGAACAGCAAGCAGGCCAGTTTGGGTGAAAGAAAGAGTGGGTGAGGGAAAGTAATATGCAGTATGCCTGGAAAACCAGACCATGAATGACTTGAAAAATGAAACAGAAAAGTTCGTATTTTATCCCGGAGGCAAGAGAGAGACACTGAAGCTTCTTGAGTGACAAGGTCAGACTTGTGCTTTAGGGATGTCATTTTGTTTTTTGATTTTTTTGGGTTTTTTTTTTTTTTAGGCAACTGGGGTTAAGTGACTTGCCCAGGGTCACACAGCTAGTAAGTGTCAAGTGTTTGGTCTGAGGCCGGATTTGAACTCAGGTCCTCCTGACTTCAGGGTCAGTGCTCTATCCACTGCACCACCTAGCTGCCCCCTAGGGATGTCATTTTGGAGGAGGATTGGGCCAGGAAAAAAACTAGAGGCTGGGAGACCAAGTAAGAGATTATTCTAATAGTTCAGGTAAGAGATGATGAGGGAAATGAGGGCCTGAGCTAGAGTGGTGACTGTACTTGGAGAAAGGAGGACAGATGCAAAAGATATTTTGGAGACAGAATGGGCAAGAATTGGCCATTGGTTGAGTGTGAGGGACTAGTGAGAGGGAAAATTTGTGGATGACTCCAAAGTGGGGAGCCTGGGTGACTGGAAGGATGGTGGTGCTCTCAACAGATATAGGGAACTTAGAAAGAAGAGAGGACTTTTTGGGAAACATAGTTCTGTTTTAGATTTGATGCTTATGAGGATTTTAGCCAGTCCTAATAAATAATCGGTCACAATTCTATGTAGATCCTTATTAACTGTATTTTACATATGAGGAATCAGATGAAAAAATAAATTACTTTTATTTCACTTGTTCATCTTATTACTTCCATGGTTCTATAAGTTAATAGAGGTTTTGTCTGTCTTTGTAATTCTCTTAGGTTTTACAAAATGCACCAGATGAAATTTTAGTGGTAGCATCTTCCATGCTGTGTAATCTACTGCTTGAATTCTCTCCAAGCAAAGAGGTTGGTATATTTATATATTTTCTTCTTAGTTTTGAAATAGCCCAGTTATATTGTGCTTATTGTTGATTGACAATGCATTTTCATTGGATCTGAAATGATCCTTACTCATTGCTTCATTTAAAGAATAACTTCTAAATTGTTAGATTTCTTAGATTTCAATATCAAACAAAATCATATTTCAGATGACAGTAGTATTTGTCTTTTTTTCTTACTATTTAAGCTATGATAATTTCTAGTGCTACTCATCTGCCTGGTACCACAAAAATATTTTTTTAAAATTGTACTTATGTTAAACTTTTTATTTTCAGAACTCTGCATTCAGACATGAAACAAAACCATCCATATTTCTGATTGATTTGACAAATAAGTAAATAAATAACATGAACGCATTCAAGAAAAATAAAGTAGCTCTCTGGAGTTTTACCCTGTGATAGTAACAATAACATGTTTCCTGGGGCAGGGTTTTGAGGCATGGATTCAGACCCTGCTCTCCTTATGAATTCAGGAGCCCTCTGATATTGCTGATGAGAATGCATTGAATCCATGACTTATGATAAACATTTGTCCATCACTTGTAGTCATCTGCCTGGAACTTGGGAAGGCATTGTTGACCTGGAGACTGAACTAAGTATGTTCAAAGTGACATTTGCCAAAGATACACATGGGAACAAAACAAGATGTGGGAAGTTGCTTGTTCAAAGAGAAGAAATATAGAGGGTATATTTAAGAGCCATTGTCCATATTTCCCTGGGCAATGGCTGTAGTAGTCACATCCTTTGTGGTGGTTCTGTTTGGGGGTTAGAGACCCAAAGTTGGAAGGAGCCTCAGAGACAATTAAATCCATCTCTCTCATCTTGTAGATGAAACCAAAACCATTCATTATTAACAACAAACGCTGACTTTCCACAGGATTCAGTTCAGCAAACCTTTAAGCATCTACTCCATACAAGGCACTGTAGATATGAAGGTGACCCAAGACAGAAAAGACAGAATTCTTGCTATCAGACATTTACAGTCTAGTTGAAGGAAATAGGGCAGATAAGACATAGTTACAAATAACAACCTAACAAAATGAAATAAGTGAAAAGAAAGAGTGCAAAGTGCTATGAAAAAATTTGTAGAGGGAGAAATTACTTTCAACTGAGGGAGAGGAGCTCAAAGAAGACTTCAGAGAAGAGATGGCATATGAATTGGGACTTAAAAAAAAGAAGGTATTGAGCAGGTGCTCATATTTGAGGAAGATAATCCAAACGTGGGGTGGGGAGCATAGGACCAAGGACAGCAGGGAACAGGCATCTATTAAGTGCCTTCCATGTGCCAGGCACTGTGTTAAGCATTTTACAAATGTTATCTCATTTAAGAATGAGGGACAGAGAGCAGTCTAATTGACTGCAATGTAGATCATATGAAGGGGAGTGATATGAGATATGTCTGAAACAATAGACTAAAGCCAGATTGCAGGGGCTCTTAAGTGTCAGAATAAGGCGCTTAACTCAACAGATATTATGAAGGGAATTTCTTTAGGGGTAGGAAAATGCATCTGGATGCATCATTTCTACTCATTTGTTGTTTTGGTTTTTTTAATCTCTTTATAGTCACTTCCGATAGATAATATAGAAGACACAACCACATATTACTATGCATACACCTGAGAGCAGTGAAGGTGATAGGTGAAACTAGTGAATGGTAACATGCAAACCCAAAGAGTGAGAACAAGTCTCTGTGATAAAGTCTATAATAATGATATTTGTCACTGTATTGCCTAAAATAGAACATATATCACAGGTTATCAGCAAAACATTTGGATTGAGGGATGACATTTAGGGAGATTTAATCCAGGAAATTTTTCCTTATAAGAAAATGACTATTTACCAATATTTGTGTGTGATCACTTTTTTTAAACTTTCTACTTAGTTCTCACTCAGTGGAAGAAAGTATTGATTTCAGTAAGAAGGGCAAGGAAAAACTTGTGGGGAATAATGTGTTATTTGTATATATTCACTGAGTTCACAAGCATAAATTTTAAGCTTCATTTTTATTCTTTTCTAATTACAGCCTATTTTAGAATCAGGAGCCATAGAGTTACTTTGTGGTTTAACCCAAAGTGAAAATCCTGCTTTACGAGTGAATGGGATTTGGGCTTTAATGGTATGTTTAATTTATTATATTCTTTGTGGGTATGAGGGGAAGAGAAATAGTGGTAAAGTATGTAATATCTAAGAGTTCTGAATTTTGCTCATGAAGAATATTGGGTGATACTTTGGTTCAGTGACCCAAATGATGAATTGGAACCAAGCACACCCCAGAGGTGCAGTCTTCTAGCTCTGCCATTTACAGAATCACAGGATTTCAGAGTTGAAAGGGACCTCAGAGGTATCTATTTCAATCCATTCCTGCAACATATCCAAGAAATGGTCATGCAGTTTTCTTAAAGACCTCTAGTGAAAGACAAACCTCTTCCTTCCAAAGCAGCCCATTCCATTTCTAACTGTCATCTAACAATTAGTAAGTCCAATTGTTAGGAATGTTTTTTCTCTTTACCATAAGCCTGAATTTCCACTTCGGGCCTTCTATCTGTTGTTCATATTTCTGCTTTCTGAGGCCAAGTAGAGCAAGTCTTAAGTAATCTGCCAACATGACAATCCTTTAAGCAGTTGAAAACAGTTATCCTTCCCTCCTGAGTTTTCCTTTCTTCAGTTCCTTCAACAAGTCCTCATGTAGCATGATCTCAAGGCCTTTCATCCTCCTTGTTGCTTTCCTCTGGACAGTTCCTGTCTTTCCTAAATACTGTGTCCGTAACTCAACAGATGCAGTCTGATGAGGCCATTACAACATGACTATCAATCACCTCCTTACTCCTGAATGCTAGTACTCTCTTAATAGAACTTAAAATCATGTTAGCATTCTTGGCTTTCATATCATTACTGGCCTGCATCAACCTTGAAGTCCACTAAAACCCTAGATCTTTCAAACTGCTCTCAATTCATATTTCCATCATCTCTTACCTGTAAAGTAGATTTTTGAACCCAGCTGTGAAACCTTACACTTGTTCCTTTTACATTTCATCTTATTAGATTTGACCCAATGTTCTAGCTTGTCAAATCTTTTTGAATCCCAATTCTATCATCCAGTGTTTTAGCTGTCTCTCTTAGCTTTGTGGTATATGCAAATTTGTTGAGCATTTTATCTATGCTTTTAAAAATGTTACACAGTATGAGGGACAAGCACAGATCCCTGGGTCACTTCACTGGAGACCTCCTTCTAAATTGATGTGGAGCCATTAATGACTACTCTGTCTTCAGCCATTCATCAAGTCCTGAAGCCACAAAATTACACTGTCATGTAAACAAAAACTCTTCATCTTTTTCACAAGAATGGCTTGAGAGATTATAAAATGCTTTGCCAAAATCTAGCTAAATGATATCTACAATATTCTACTCATCTACCAGTTTAGTAACCCAATCAATATAAGAAATAAGATTAAGTTGGCATGACCTGTCCTTGATGAAATTAGGCTGACACTTTGTGATCGCTATGTCCTTTTTTAGGTGTTTACTAACCACTCCTGAAAGAATGAATTCTAGAATTTTTTCAATTTGTTCCTCAAGCAAATCATATATTTTTCTTCCTCAGTACAGAAATTAAACTGACTTATTTTATAAGATGATTTAAAAGCACTTGCTTTAAAAAAGCAATTAAACATTTATTTGAATAAGGCTTCATACAGTTCAGAGCCATTTCTCTAACATTATTACATCTGTACAACAATCCTGTAAAGTGGAAAATAAATACAAATATATATGCAACTCCACTTATACCCTACACTTTTGCTACATTATGATAGGGAGGTAACCTTAGATTCTCAAAAGTTGTCCAAGTGGAAAATAGGCTAGCAGATCCAATCAAACTATAAGGACATGTGTACATGTTAATTAATGGACTCTCTTTCCAGGATGAGTCTATCTAAATTCAGAGAAGCCCACCACCAGAAGCTTGGCCACCAGGTGAATTTTTTAAACCTCTGCAACTCATGAATAACATCTAAAGCATGGTCCAGTGGAAAGAGTGCTGAATTTAAAGTTAGAGAATCTGGGTTCAAATTCTGTCTTTAGTTACTCTCTAAGTCTCAGTTTCCTCAACTGTAAAATGAAGGTGTTGGATTAGATGACCTATAAGGACCCTTTCAGTTCTGAAGCTATGATCTATAAATATTATCATGTCCTACTTTACAATGAAGAAAGCAAGACACCACGATTAAGTTACTTACCTAACAGTCATGTAATTGCTACATATGTGCTTAGTGCTTCAGTACTCTAAAAGATCTTTTCTTTCAGTAGTGTAGTTACTTTCACCACTGATGCAAATCAGAATCCTGTCATTGCTGAGTAGTTTCGTTCATATCACCTGGTAGCCAACTTTGTGATGATGAGAAGTGCTTAATAATTTTTAAGTACTATTTTAAAGAGTAAAATTGTAAGACCACATTTTTTTCCTTCAAGTTGAACACTGCTAAGATTCAATTGTACCAGACGTCCTTTGATCTTTTTATAATTGTTCATTTTGAATGTGGTATACACAAGCAAAAAATTTTGAAACACACAAATGGCCATGTGATATGCAAAGAATTGATCTTTGGGGGCCATATCCAGGATGTTTAAAAATCAAAACTTCAACTTAGAAAACCTGAGTGCTTTATAATTAGGAGTAATAACAATAAAAAACTAGAGAAAGATGCTACAGAGTCTCTTCTTCCTCTTACTTTAAAAAAAATCTTCACTTACTAAAGTAAGAAAATTTAACACTAAAGACAGTTACAGATATGAAGACTATAACTTTTTTTTATCTTTCAGAATATGGCATTTCAGGCAGAACAAAAAATAAAAGCAGATATTTTACGAAGTTTAAGTACCGAGCAATTATTCCAGTTGTTATCAGATTCAGACTTGAATGTGTTAATGAAGACTTTGGGACTTCTCAGAAATCTCCTTTCCACTCGCCCAGTAAGTAAGATCTTCCAGGCTGCCAGGAATCTTATCATATGGAACAATTATTTTCTTTAGTCTCAGGAGTACAGGAATCAGTCAGTCCACCATACTTTACGGGAGCCTTCTTGTGTGCTGCATTGTGTGTTTATATATTGCCCCCTAACAAAGGAGTAAGCCTACCTTTAGGCACCCAACGTCTGTTCTGGGGTATTTCTTAACATGAAACCCCCTCTCTACCATTCCCATCATTCCTCTCTCCTTGTCTACCCTGAGGTCTGAGTGTTGCTCCACTTTTGGTTTTCATTTATTCCTTTGTCCCCATCCAGTTTCCAAGTCCATACTATTTTTATCACTTCTCCCAATGATGTCTTCTGGTCTGCTGCTTCTTGTCCCTGAGTATCCTTTCTCATCCCTATTCCCTATTCTCTCTCACTTTATATGCACCCCCTACCCCTGTTGAAAGGTATGGCCACTTTCCATGGAAATTGAGAAGACGAATGGGCATGCCCTACTCAGGAATGAGATAGGATGAGCTCTGCTATTATCTCAAACCATGCCAATGATATCACTTCCAGAAATAGCTTTTGGTACTCCCAGATGCCTTTATCGATACTTCCCTACCATTCTCACTTTTCTCTGCATATATTTTTTTCCAAAGATACTATTCACATTACCCACACCAATTTTGTTATATCTTCATTCTTTATTCCCTGTCACCATTTTTCTTCCTTACCACAATCTGACCAAAGGTTTCCCATGTCCACACATTACAGAATACTGGCCTTTCTATATTCCTCTTCCTCCTTCAAGTAATTGAGGAAAAAATAGAAGTGCAAATGGAAGAAAGTTTAAAAATTTCAGGAATAATTCTGTCATTTTCTAGATAGAATAATTCTATTCCCTGTTCTTTAGCTTTCAGAAAACCTCTGTGTTGTTTCTCTCTGTCTTACTCTTGGCACCTGAGAGATTAATTGTTCATTTCCAATTGATTTTGCAGCATATAGACAAGATAATGAGTACTCATGGAAAGCAAATTATGCAAGCTGTCACTCTTATTCTGGAAGGGGAGCATAATATAGAAGTCGAAGAGCAGGTATATTTTACTTTTCTATGTAAAGTGTATTTTGTATCTATAAAAAGGAAGAGTAATAGAAGTCTTCTCAAAGAACTAAGCCTGCAAAGGTTGAATATTAATATGTTAATGAAAGTAATCTAGGAATAGTATGAAAAGGTGGGAGAAGACATTAGGAAAAGAAAGCACATGTGGGAAAAGCTAGTTCTTGTCCTACCAATTATTCTATTATTCAGATATTCTCCAAGAGCACATTCAGTCATAACTCTTTATCTGGAACATAAATAGCCAGTCATATCTGGTTCATGCTGTAGCCTTAGAAAGAACTTCTTTGGACATCCATATCCCCACTTGAAGTAATCTTTTCTTCTAGAACTCTTCCATTTCTTGTCTTTTCCTCCACTTCACACAGAGTCCATGTTGTTGTACAGGAAAACAATTTTTCATTCGGGAGATGGCCTTTCTTTTGCACTAGGTCATCTTCCGGTTCTCCCTTTTCATACATCCTTCTACCTCCCTCCTCAACATCTCCACCCCTTTCTCCTCTATATTGAGTTACAACATTTAGGGTGAATTAAGAAATTATATACTTATCAAGGGGCCATATTCAAATGTTTTTTCATTTCTTCCTGATAATTTCTCCATGAATGTTAAATCTACATATTTCATTAAGTACTACAAAAATTAACTTCACTTTTGCACTCAAAATTTGTGTGTATAAAAAGTTAAATTTGATCTCTTAGGTATCACTGACACTTTGTAAGATAACATTTATGACTGAAACATGACAATGAAAGTATTGCTTTGTTCAAAAGAAACAGATTTAACAGGGGGAGAGGAGGAAGATATATTTACCTTATGGAAGTCTGCAAACCTGAGAATGAAAACATGATAGATAACATTTAAATTAGATTATTACTTTGAGAATGTACTATGAACCTCCTAGTAGGACAGAGTATGTCAGTGATGCTTTCCTAATAGAGACTACGAAAGTGACAGAGAAATACTGTAGGGGAACTTCAAGCCTCTTTGGACCTACTAAAAATAGAGCATTTCATACATTTTTAACTAAGAAGCAATAAAGTAACTTCTATTCTAGATTTTATTTAGATCAACAGGGAAGAACTAATTGGTGATTTAAAAATGTGTTCTCACTCTCCTTAAGTTAAATTTATTTATCTTTTTTACATGTTGTACTCTCCAGTAAAATGTAAACTTCTTGAGTACAGGGACTGTTTTTTCATTTTGTTTTTGTATCTCCGGTACCCAGCACAATGCCTTACACATAGTAGTCACTTAATGCCTGTTTGTTGAACTGAATTGAATTGAATTGAGGAAGTGATCATATGTAGAATTTGTAATATCAAGGTAAGGGAACACTGAGTCACATATATTGTTTGCATACTTTAGTAAACCAAATGTCAACAATTTCAGAGATATGATCTCATGACCAGAATCTCCGAAGGGAAATATGGGAGGTTAGGAGGCATGGAAGTCCTCAAACATGAAATTCTGGCTATATAATTATGAACAATGTCAGTGAGAAAGGAAAGAGGAGACAAGAGCACATCTTCCCAGGAGATTCTGAAAAGCCAAATACAAAAGATGGTAGAGGGTCACAACCCCAAAAAGGCACAAAAGAGACAAATTCTGAAGAATGATGTCCGGAAAGCTAACAACCAGAATGAGCTAAAATTTATGAAAAAATACTGGACAACAGAAAAGGACTATATGGTCATTAATTTGGTCACTAGTTGAGGCACATAGACTCATAAAGGCTTAATCCTTCCAGCATACAGTTTAATTTTAACAAATGACAAGATGCAGAGTTATTAAACTCCTATTTACTTCTCTCTTCTTCAGTAAGAAGGCTGGTTTTCAAATGGAAGGGTATAACAAACATAATGAAGAAGCATTTGTAGCTGAAGAGAAGTGAGGAAGAAGATAGTGAGTATTCAGCCACTTTCAATTAGTTCACATTTCCAGGACCAGGTGAATTAGGTGCTAAAAGGAACTTGGAAATGTGATCTTGGAGACACTAGAGGAATATTTTTAAAATCATAAGAAAAAGAAGAGGTACCAAAAGATTAGAGATGGGAAAATAGCTTAATTTTCTTCTTTGAAGAGGGAGAATATGGATTGTGGGAACAAGACACTGGTAAACTTGATGTTGATTCCTAGCAAAATTCTAAAATGGACTATCAATCAAATCATTTGTGAACATTTGGAAATGAATTTAGTAATCACTAAGAATCAAGATGGATTCACTAAAATAAAATGCCAACCTAATTTCATTTCAGTTTTTAATATGTTTGAATTGAGGAAGTGATCATATGTGGAGTTTGTAATAGCAAGGTAAGGGAACACTGAGTCACATATATTGTTTGCATACTTTAGTAAGCCAAGTGTCAACAATTTCAGAGATATGATCTCATGACCAGAATCTCCGAAGGGAAATATGGGAGGTTAGGAGGCGTGGAAGTCCTCAAACATGAAATTCTGGCTAAATAATGATGAACAATATCAGTGAGAAAGGAAAGAGGGAGACAACTATAGGAAGGAACGCATCTTCCCAGGAGATTCTAAAAAGCCAAGTACAAAAGATGGAAGAGGGTGAAGTGGGGTTGTAGATTGCAAGCAACAAAAAGTAAATGCTATTGAAGTTGCATTTAGAGAGGAATAATGTTCAGAACAGAGAAAATAGTAGTTCCAAAATAACATTCCCTGCTTAGGCCAATCTGGGATCCTGTGTTCGATTCTGAGCGTTATGTTTTTTAAGAAAGACTTGAGCATGTGCAGTGGAAAGTCACCAAGATAAGAGGACTGGAGAACATTCTGCATGAGGATTATTCAAAGAAACTAAGAGCCCAGAGAAAGGAAGTTAGTGGACAGAATAGCAGCTTATGATCATTCTTTTCAGTTATTTAAAGGTCTGTCATGTTAGAGTTATTCAATCTAGGAGAACGAGAAGTAATGGGAAGAAATTGCAAGGACACAGATTTAGAATTGTTGTAATGAAAAAATTCCTAATAATTCAAGTTGCCCAGAAACAGAATGGGCTCCTGTGGGGAGTAATGGGTTCTGCTTCATTCCATGTTTTCCTCCAGAGGCAGGATGACCATTTGTTGGGGATGCTATAGAAGAGATTCTTCTCTAGATAGGCGTTAGGTTCAGTAGCCACTGAAGGACCATCCAGCTCCATAGGTCTAAACTCTGAAACTCTTGACAAAAATATACCATAAGAGCCTTGTAGATTAAATGTTTAAAAATTTGGGCTAAATATTAATGTAACTGGATAGATTCAAAGTTAGTTGAACAACTATATTGAAACTAACTTTGAATCTATCCATTAGTAAATCTATTAGTGAATCTATCTATTAGTAAATGGATTAGTGGTGACCTTGAAGGATAGTTTCTACTGGAAAACTACCAGGATTCTGGCCCAGTAATTCAATTCAACAAAAATGTATTTGATGCTTACTGTATACAGAGCACTGGGAAATAAAAGGATGAATAAGACCTGTTCTCTTCTCTCTACAAGGTTACAGTATAGTAGCAATAGGAAACTAGTATTTTGGGGAGAGAGATGGAAAAGAGTCTACTTGGGCATGGAAGCATGGTGGGGTGGGATAGAGGTTTGAGGTGATGTGTGCCTGGACTCTTTACCATAATCATGAATTGTGTGAATGTATGTTGTCATGTGGTATGTGTACTGAACACACACTGAGAAATTAAACCCTTGAGGGCAAATAGCATATCATAGGATCTAGAGATTGAAGCTATGTAGAATATCATCTTAAAATAATCTGAGTGGGAGTGGTGGTTGTCTTAGAAACTCAGATTCATTGTACTAAGGATAACATTGATAGTGGTTCAAAGGTATGGAAAATATTGCCCCTCCAATATGACCCCATGTACCTATTCCCAATCCTTTTGTTATCTTGTTTCTCTGTAAATATGACTTTGAGTGAGTTGTTTCCTTTTTCTGAGCCTTGATTGTCTCATTTAGAAATGACAAACTAAAATAGTTGACCTTCAGCCTTTCTTCTGAGTCTGATATTGTACAGTTCTGAGTGAGCTGCAAGATGTAGTTGAAAAAGGACACAACTGAAAGTCTCTGCTACTTGTAATCAAGCTTGTCAATTTGATTACAAACCTCATTTTAAAAAAAGTTAAAAGTTCAAAGCAGCCATATGGTATGTCTAGACCATCTGTTGTGTATACGTGTACCCACATGTGTGTACACACAAACTCTTACATTGTAAGCATGTCTGCACATGTGTGTGGATGGGTTTATACATATGCATGTACACCATTTGCAAGGATCCATTCATCCCATGGCCATTGGGTCAGTCCATCTGGTTCAACCTAAGGCCAAACAAGAATACCTGTACAACCTCCCCAACGAGTTATCATCTAGTTAGTCTTTGCTTGAAAACTTCTAGTGAGTAGGAATCCATGAAGGAGCCCATTCAACTTTTGTGTAGCTTTAATTAGATCTTTTTCTTTACGTGATGCTTGTGCTTCTCTCTGCAATTATTATTTTAATCTTTTCTGTGATTTCTACCCAGTTGTGCTATTATGTCCATTCACCGCTACCCTGATCCTGTCTTCTTGTGTTTAAAACTCTTTTCTTTCTCCGACTGATCCTCATATGGCATGATTTCAAGCCTCTAATTTGGCGTCCACTAGAAGACATAGGAGATTATATGAGCAAATGCATAGTGGCCAAAAGGAGGGGCTTGAGTTCATAAAAGCATGAGTAGCTTACTTGGTGGAAGTAGCTTTTTGAGGGGGATTAGAGAGATAATACTGGAAGTAAAGGCTATATCAGACAGTGAGGATCATCGCCATTTAGTTCAGTGACTCTGACAGCTGGAACAATTCTTCATGTCCAAGCTATTCAAACACCAAAGGATAGGAAACATGCTTATTTGTCGTCATAAAACAGCTCTCACAAGGAAGTAGTTTTACCATCTCGTTTTTCATTGTTTCTTGTCAGTATCAGTGTCATAGTATCA